CCCCGCAGGCACCGGGGCCGCTGCCTGAGCCGGCAGCAGGAAGTGGCCGGGGCCGGGGAGCAGCGGAGCCGCCTCCGCCTGCAGCGCCGCGGACACAGGTGGGGGTCACGTGACCCACGCGGCAGCTGACAGCCGTCACGTGACCCACGCCTCATCCCACGTGTCCCCCCCCCCGCAGGGAGCAGTTCTGGAGGCAGCTCGAGGACATCATGGAGCAGCACAAGAGGCTGCGGGAGGAGCACGTGAGGCCCCACCCCCCCACGTGACCACGCCCTCATGGCCACGCCCCCTCACCCGTATAGCCACACCCTCTACCCCCGTGGCTCCACCCCCTGTAGGTCCCAGCTCATTTAGAGGCTGAACTGGAGCGGCTGGAGGAGGCAATGGGAAAGCTGCTGAGCCAGGGTGAGCCCCGCACCCCCCCTTGAGCCCATGGTCCCCCTCATTGAAGCCATGGATCCCCCACATTGAACCCACGGCCCCCACCCCACTGAACGCATGCCCCCCCCCATTGCCACCATGTCCCCCGTTGAACCCATGCCCCCCCCATTGCCACCATGTCCCCCCCCATTGAACCCATGCCCCCCCATTCCACCCATGGCCCCCCCCACATTGAACCCATGGCCCCCACCCCATTGAACCAATATCCTCCCCATTGAACCCATGCCTTCCCCATTGAACCCATGCCTCCTCATTGAGCCCATGGCCCTTCCCATTGAACCAATGTCCCCCACCCCATTGAACCGATATCCTCCCCATAGAGCCCATGCCCTCCCCATTGAACCCATGCCCCCCCATTGAGCCCATGGCCCCTCCCATTGAACCCATGCCCCCCATTTTGCCATAATGTCCCGCCCCCCACTAAACCCATACCCCCCCCAAAACCCATATCCCCCCCATTAAACCCATCCACCACCCCCCACCGCCCCCCAAAGGTAACAAGCCCCGCCCCCTGCAGAGCGCCGCCTGCTGGAGGCAGAGCAGCAGCTGGGCCCCGAAGCCTTAGTAGCCATGTGAGTGCCTGAAGGCCCCGCCCACCCCACGCTTGGCCCCGCCCATTGCATTCCTTGCCCTGCCCTTTCACCCCTCCTTGACTCCGCCCCCTGCTCCACAGCCGATTGGTGGAGGAGGAGGCGGAGTGGGCGGGGCAGCGCCTGGCGGCGGAGCTTGCGCGGCGTCAGAGCTGCCAGTGCCGCCGGGACAGGTGGGTAACGCCCCCAACAGGCCCCGCCCACTGTGAACCACGTGACCACGCCCCCCCTCTAACTCTGGCCACGCCCTCCTTTAGGTTGGCCGGGGAGCTGGAGCAGCTGCAGCGCCCCCTAGAGGCTCAGCGCGAGTGAGGAGTGAAGGGGGCGGGACCTATAGGTCCCCTATAGAGTCCCCCATATGTTCCTACGTCACCCCCTTACGTCACTACGTCCCCCCAATAAACGTTCTTACCCCCTTCCCCCGTTTCTGTGTCTCTCTATGGTGGCTCAGGTGGCATCCCCAACATGGCCGCCTCCATCGAGGGCCGCCATTTTGCCATGTCCTACTATAGGAGGGACTTGCTCCCCCATATCCCCCCCACTACGTCCCTACGTCCCCCCCTACGTCACCAATAAACGTTCTTAACCCTCCCCCCCCTTTATCCGTGTCTATGGCGGCTCAGGCGACCCAGGGCACATCCCCCCACCCCCCCTTTCAACATGGCCGCCTCCATAGGCGGCCGCCATTTTGCCTCGCGCCGCCATTTTAGGCTTCCCCTCTCCTCACACGGAAGCGGAAGCGGGCAGCGCTTCCTCCTTCCGGCTTATGGCGGAGCCCGGCGGGGCCGAGCGGCGATGGTGAGCGGTCGCTATGGGGCTCGCTATGGGGCGGGGGAGCCGGCAATGGAGGCCCCATTGCTCTGTCTGGCCCCACAGGACAGCGAGTTCTCGGACGCGGAAGCGGGGCCGGGGGGGGAGGAGAACGCGCCCGTTTATTGCGTGTGCCGCAAACCGGACATCAACTGCTTCATGATGTGAGTTGGGGGGGGGAATGGACGGGCGACCCCCACTTATGGGGCTGAGACCCCCATTTATGGGGCTGAGAAACATATTATGGGGCTGAGAACCATGTTATGGAGCGAAGATCCCCGTTTATGTGGCTGAGACCCGCGTTATGGGGCTGAGACCCCACATTATGGGGCTGAGACCCCCGTTATGAAGCTGAGACCCCCGTTATGGGGCTGAGATCCTCATTGTGGGGCTGAGACCCCCATTTATGGGGCTGAGACCCCCGTTATGGGGCTGAGATCCCCACTTATAGGTCTGAGACCCCTATTTATGGGGTTGAGACTTCCATTTATGGGCCTGAGACACTCATTATGGGGCAAAGACCCCCACTTATGGGGCTGAGACCCCTGTTATGGGGCTGAATTCCCTGCTATGGATCCCTTTTAGGTTGGGTCTGGACCCCTGGGTCCCTCATGGGGAGGATCAGGGGGTGCTTTAAGGGGGGGGGTGTGGTTTAAGTACCCTGGCCCCTATAGGGGTGCTTGGGGGGGGTGGGTTAAGGACCCCCCCTTATTCCCCCTGCCCCATAGAGGATGCGACAACTGCAACGAGTGGTTCCATGGCGACTGCATCAACATCACCGAGAAGATGGCCAAGGCCATCCGGGAGTGGTACTGCCTCCAGTGCCGGGGTGAGCGCATCTATGGGTACACGGGACCCTCATGTATAGGGCAGGCCCTATAGGGGGGGTTCACCCCCTTCCCATTGCGTCCAAACCCCCCTTGTTTGGGCCTATGGGAAAGGGGGTTGGGGTTGGGGTTCGGTTTATGGGGAGAAGGGGATGGTTTTGGGGGGGGTTGGGTTCTTTTTAAGGGGGGGGGATGAGATTTGGGGTCTTTTAGGGGGGTTGGGTGCTCTTTGGGGGGGGAATGGGGGTTCTGGGTCCCCTTTATGGGTGTTGAGGGGGGGGAATGGGGGTCCTGGATCCCCTTTATGGGTGTTGGGGGGGGAATGGGGGTCCTGGATCCCCTTTATGGGTGTTGAGGGGGGGAATGGGGGTTCTGGATCCCCTTTATGGGTGTTGGGGGGGAGAAATGGGGTCCTGGATCACCTTTATGGGTGTTGGGGGGGGGGAAATGGGGTCCTGCCCCCTTTTATGTCTGTTGGGGTGGGGGAGGGGTTCAAATGTGGGTCCCAGCCCCCCCTATTCCCCCTATTCCCCCCTTGCAGAGAAGGATCCCAGCCTGGAGATCCGGTACCGGCACAAGAAGTGGAGGGAGAAGGAGCGGGAGCACGAGAGCTCCAAAGCCCAGGAGCTGGCGCTGGAGCAGGGCCGAGCGGCCAAGGTGGGGCCCTATGGGGCTGGGATGGGGTGGGAGGGGATAGAATAGACCCCGCCCCCTCCCTTTAACCCTGCCCCCTTCCCTTTAACCCCGCCCCTTGTCTTTAACCCCGCCTCCTCCCTTTAGCCCCGCCCCCTCCCTTTAACCCCGCCCCCCCTTTAACCCCCGCCCCCCTTGAACCCTGCCCCCCTCCCTTGAACCCCGCCCCCTTGCCTCTAACCCTGAACCCTTGCCTTTCACCCCGCCCCCCCTTTAACCCCCGCCCCCCCTTGAACCCTGCCCCCCTCCCTTGAACCCCGCCCCCTTGCCTTTAACCCCGAACCCTTGCCTTTAACCCCGACCCCTCCCTTGAACCCCACCCCCCCTTTAACCCCGAACCCTGCCTTTAACCCCGCCCCTCCTTTAACCCCGCCCCCCTCCCTTTAACCCCGCCCCATTCCCTTTAACCCCGCCCCCTGCCCCACAGGGCCCTCACTTGTGGGTCCCGCCCCATAGATCAAGCGCTCGGCGCGGATGTGTGGGGAGTGCGAGGCGTGCCGGCGCCCCGAGGACTGCGGGCAGTCCCTTTAACCCCACCCCCATCCCTTTACCCCCACCTCCATTTAACCCCACCCCCTTCCCTTTAACCCCACCCCTTCCCTTTAACCCCGCCCCTCCCTTTAACCCCACCCCTTCCCTTTAACCCCACCCCTTCCCTTTAACCCCGCCCCCTGCCCCACAGGGCCCTCACTTGTGGCTCCCGCCCCATAGATCAAGCGCTCGGCGCGGATGTGTGGGGAGTGCGAGGCGTGCCGGCGCCCCGAGGACTGCGGGCAGTCCCTTTAACCCCGCCCCCTTCCCTTTAACCCCGCCCCTCCCTTTAACCCCACCCCTTCCCTTTAACCCCACCCCCCTCCCTTTAACCCCACCCCCTGCCCCACAGGGCCCTCACTTGTGGGTCCCGCCCCATAGATCAAGCGCTCGGCGCGGATGTGTGGGGAGTGGAGGCGTGCCGGCGCCCCGAGGACTGCGGGCAGTCCCTTTAACCCCGCCCCCCTCCCTTTAACCCCGCCCCCTCCCCTTTAACCCCACCCCCTCCTTTAAGCCCGCCCCCCTCCCTTTAACCCCGCCCCATTCCCTTTAACCCCCCCCCTGCCCCACAGGGCCCTCACTTGTGGGTCCCGCCCCATAGATCAAGCGCTCGGCGCGGATGTGTGGGGAGTGCGAGGCGTGCCGGCGCCCCGAGGACTGCGGGCAGTGCGACTTCTGTCGCGACATGAAGAAGTTCGGCGGCCCCAACAAGATCCGCCAGAAGTGCCGCCTGCGGCAGTGCCAGCTGCGGGCCCGCGTGAGCGGGGAGAGGGCGCGGGGAGCGCGGTGGGAGCGTGTTGGAGCGTGCTGTTAGCGTGTTGGAGCGTGCTGTTAGCGTGTTGGAGCGTGCTGTTAGCGTGTTGGAGCGTGCTGTTAGCGTGTTGGAGCGTGCTGTTAGCGTGTTGAAGTGTGCTGTTAGCGTGTGGGAGCATGTTGGAGGGTGTTGGTGTGTTGGAGCGTGGTGTTAGTGTGTGGGAGCGTGGTGTTAGTGTGCTGTTGGCATGGTGTTAGCATGTGGGAGCGTGCTGTTAGCATGTGGGAGCGTGCTGTTAGCGTGTTGGAGCGTGGTGTTAGCGTGTGGGAGCGTGCTGTTAGCGTGTGGGAGCATGGTGTTAGTGTGTGGGAGCGTGGTGTTAGCGTGTTGGAGCGTGCTGTTAGCGTGTGGGAGCATGGTGTTAGTGTGTGGGAGCGTGGTGTTAGCGTGTTGGAGCGTGCTGTTAGCGTGTGGGAGTGCACTGTTAGCATGAAGGAGCGTGGTGTGTGTGGGAGCGTGGTGTTAGTGTGTAGGAGCGTGGTGTTAGCGTGTTGGACCGTGCTGTTAGCGTGTGGGAGTGCACTGTTAGCATGAAGGAGCGTGGTGTTAGTGTGTTGGAGCATGCTGTTAGCCTGAGGGAGCGTGGTGTTAGCGTGTTGGAGCGTGCTGTTAGCATGAAGGAGCATGGTGTTAGTGTGTGGGAGCTTGGTGTTAGCGTGGTGTTAGCATGGTGTTGGCATGTTGGAGCGTGGTGTTGGCGTGTGGGAGTGTGCTGTTAGCATGTTGGAGCGTGCTGCTGGCGCATGGGAGCGTGCTGTTGGCATGTGGGAGCGTGCTTTAGCATGTTGTTAGCATGTGGGAGGGTTCTGTTAGCATGCTGGAGCATGCTGTTAGCCTGTTGGAGTGTGTTGTTAGCATGCTGGAGTGTGTTAGTGTGCTCAGAGTGTGTTGTTAGTGTGTTGGAGTGTGCTAGCATGCCGGAATATGGTGTTAACACATCGTTAGCGTGTTGGGAACATGCTGGGAGTGTGTTGAAGTGTGTTGTTAGCATGTTGGAACATGTTAGCATGTTGCAAGCATATTGTTAGCGCATTGGGAACGTGTTGATAGTGTGTTGGGAAGTGTTAACATGTCGGAGCATGGTGTTAGCGTGTTGGGAGCGTGTTGTTAGCATGTTGGAGTGCGTTAGCATGCTGGGAGCATGTTGTTAGTGTGTTGGAGCATGGTATTAGCGTGTTGGAACATGTTAGCGTGCTCACAATGTGTTGTTAGTGTGTTAGAACACGTTAGCATGCTTATAGTGTCTTGGAACGTGTTGCTAGTGTGTTGGAGCATGCTGTTAGCGTGTTGGGAGTGTG